CAAACATACGATTAAATCTTAAAAGTAATTGCTAATAAATTGTATATTATCATCTTAATACGGCATGAAATATTACAACAAAAATAGATTATGCTGTAAAATATACGTCTCATTAACTTGTGCGCCGAGTTTTTAGTTCAAATTCAGAAGCAAATGAACTTTAATATTTCACTTTAACCTAAGCTATAACTTACAAGAGTACAAACAATATTAATTTCATTATTCTCACATTGTTGGACCTAATTGTAGAAAATATATGTATGTATGTGTTTTAAAATTTTCATAATTAAGATCTAATATTTAGCGAATCATTTCGGACTTGTTATCAACCATTAAACTTTTAGAAATTCTATAATAATCGCGTTGTAAAAATATATATAAACAAGATCATGCATAATCAGTTCCTTAAATATGTTCTATTTTAACCGATGTTTGATGAATATAAGACTAATACATGTAGCAGGATGAGTGCGAAATTCTGAAAATGAAATTCCAATGAAAATTACAATTATTTATGCACTTGAGCTTATTTTAAAACAAAGCAGAAGGTATTTATAAAAAATTATATGTATTTACTATTGAAGAATGCCAGTTTTTCTTCCCACTGTTATACCGCTATACTCTGTTTCCGCTATTTTCTAGACACTCGTTTACGTTTAGTGCGCAACTCGACTACATATTTACGTAAATATTTCATATAATCACTCATAAAAGTGGTGTAGGCCTGCAAGAAAAAAAAAAGAAAATTTATTTTTTGCAGATCGCGGGACTTACACTGTAGCCGAGCGAAAAGAATGAAGGCACACAATACTTACAGTGTCTAGCACATACCGCGGTATGTAACCTTTCAAGTCCAAACACAGAATCCAGTCGAATATGCATGCATCTGATTTACCTGCGATTTCATGTAGCGCAAACCCAGTCACAAGATTTTCGCCGCTAAAAAGTGAAAACTGTTAAGCAAAAATTTGTTCTCCTATCAAAGCCCGCTACCCACCGTATATATTTCGCAGTCGGCGGAACTGGCGCATAATCAATACTAATTGCCGCGCTTATATATACTTTATTTTTACTAGCGTCGCCACCCAAAGCTCCACTCACAGCCGCCCCTTCACCCATATCGGCATTTTCCTGTGGTACATCTTGCATTCCCATCCGTGCCTCCTTCTGCACCAGTTGCGCCAAGTCATCTATATTGTCGTGAGCATCTTCAAAACTATCCTCTTCCAATGGTGGCGGTTCATCGGGATCAATACGTACGATTGCGCTAAAATCTTTAGCGCCTAAGCTTTTACTTAGTGTCTTAAATGCCCGCCCAGTACGCAAACTTTTCACACTACCGCTTCGACTATCCGCATCGCCAGCGCCAGGCATTACGCTACTGCTGCTACTTGAGAATTTTGCACGATTACTTTCAACACTGCTAGGCTGTGTGGTGGGTACAGAGTCATCATCTGATACGGTGGATACGCTACCTGGACCGGCCGTGTCGGTACCACTCTCCGCTTCATCATCATCATCGGATTCTTCGCATATCTTGCCATTGCGAAAGAGACGCCAACAGCGAAGATTAATGAAGTCGCGACTTTTCACCATGCCACCGCCACCACCCACACTAGCCTGGTATGTAATATCGGTGTAGGAATTGATTTTCTGTGAAATGTGGAGGTTTTAGTTAATGAATACATATGTGCATATGCATATATATTTTTTACTGCAAGCGAAACATACATGCACCATTTTTGATTCTAACAAAGTCGGATTCCATTTCGGAACATTTTCAATGTTATAGAAGAGTTCATCCATTAGCTCTTTGGGTGGATATTTAATACGAGCCTGAAAAATAAGAGTGAACGCGTTTATGAGATATAAATATTAACAAATAGGAGTGCGACCAGTTTTGACTTTTTCTTTTGTCTGTTTAATGTTTATTACTTTCTTAAATAATTTAGTAAGGAATTGATGCCTCCATGGTCTCTCAAATATACATTTTCAAATAACATAAATTAATTGACAGGTTGTGGAGAAAACTCAGTTTTAGCTCTCCAACAAAAATTTTTACAACGCCAAATTAAGTTTTGAAATTAACTTTTTCTTTTGCAAAATTCATAAGTCGTTTAAGTACTTACTGTTAGTCTGTAAATTTTGCCCATCTTTTCACGTTGCGTACTGCGTATCGTGTCTCCTTTATTGGTAACCTTTTCTACCTTCCAATCGCTTGATTCAAATAGCTCATGTGCTCTCCGCACACAATCCAAAGCCATTTGATGATATTCTTCATCCTGTTAAGACAAGGCAAATTTGTAATGCAATTAGAAAATAACTAAATTTTTTGAAAAAAATTTAAACTTAATTTGAAGGGCAACCTGCTGCATATTAACAGATTTCTTGCTAAGCTGTCGATTTACGACTTGTACACAAAAACCACAAATTACATTTGTGATATATTTAAATGGAAACTTCATTTTATATATTTGTACAAATACAGGAGAAAGAGATTTCTCCCTACAGCTCCACGGCAAATTGTAAATTTGAATATCCCTAATTTAATATGCAGCCGAACGCTGAAGTATTCATTCGATTAAATGGTGATTTACTGATTTACAAAAGAGCAAGTATTTTGTGATGCAAAGAAGTAACAATATTCCAGTGAAAATCCATGTATAAAATGCGGCATTACAGTACATATGTACATATATATATATATATATATATATATATATATATATATATCAAAAGTGATTACTAAGACAGATAATTGATGCTGTTATCACAATCAACATCAATGTTTGAAGCTGGCCTTGAGGCAACTGAGCTATGTGCATACATGTGTGTATGTAGTATTTTAGACAGTGAACTTAAATCGCTTTACATATGTATGTAGATATATGTAAATATATACAAGTATCTATATATAAATATATATCAATGTATACAAAACATAATCAGCACCTACAACCGCAAAAGCACACACACCCACCTGTTCATCGTCTTCATCATCGCTATTGTGTACCGTTTCTAAAGGTGAATAAAAAATGCTTTCCGGAACATTACGTTCCGACTGTGAGGCCAAAAACGGTGCCATCATTGGTGAGCGCTGTTCTGGAGTAGCTATTGCTATAAAGCGTAAATAAATATAATCATATATTAGTAATTAATTTTCAAATTTTTGGTACACGTATTTGGTTTTACCAGAGAAATAGCTACGCGCGTGACGTTCCTGCGGTATGACGCGGCAATCGAGGAACCAAGCTTCACCCCAAGCCAACACGAATGACGTTATTATGAGTATCACTTCGAAAACCTGTTGACGCGAGTCGACCCACTGAAATAGTGAATTATTTATATTTTTTTATTAATTACATATCTTCACTTTAATTAACAAAGGCCCTAACCAAAGTTTTTTTCGAAACTGT